GATTAGTGCGGACTTCCTATGTTCTTCGCTCTCCCAAAGGTTGCACAACAAAAATTAGCCACAAAACTCCAGATGCATTATGAAAATCGCCAATGCAAACCTCTGTTGGGCGGTAGAAGCAGGGCCGCCTTGCCGAGAGACTGCTTGCGGCGATTGGCAAGGGCCTGGGATCACATGGTGTAGCAGACACACCACATCGCATGTGTCTCCAACAGAGACGAACGTCTATTAAGCAGACCGTGGAATCTGACCCTCGTTGTGTCCATGTACAGTTCATGCAAAGCGGCCTCGATAATCAACACTTGAATGAATTCGCAGCTTTTGTTTTCCGGGCCCAGAGGCCACACAGCGTTCGTGTTTGATCTTTTCCCCCTCGCATGGCTGAGGTCTATGCTCACAGGCGAGGCGACTTTGGCGTACAAGACATGTGTTCGTGTTGGAACGGAAAAAGGCGTCTTCACACTTTGGAGCCCAAGACCGTGGACCGTGGGCCACACCTGAAATCTAACGCAAGGAGCTGCAAATAACAGCAGGCTGGAGCAATCCTAGTGCCCAGTATCGTCCTGAGCCGGAACCTGATGCAGGCAGAAAGCTACGGTTAAACCTGTTGCACTCAACTCGTGGGCGCATCCCCAATTGCTTCATAATTCTGGGTGTCGACGAGGATCGCCTCGGGCCATCCTCCATCCTAATCTTGACGCCGTCCATGCTCTGGCATCGCTCGCTAAATCCACCTTGCTGGGCAGCTGCCAGTTCTGGCTTCAGGAAATCACATCCAATGACCATCGATCTCACCGTTCACTTTCACAGTGCCACCTTTCATGGTCACAAATTCTCTCATGGATGTGAGATGTCTTCGGTACTCCTCTACAGCCTCAATCATGAGGCTTCGGCACTCGAGGGTAAGCATTCGGCCTTGTTGCTGGGGATGCTCCGGAGTGCCCACCACCGAGCCCAGGATGCGAGTTTTGGTGAGAACATTCCCCAACATGCACCATATGAAACAACATTGGTTTACTAAGCGGGGCTTTCATGAAGTGGACGGCATGCTGAGCAGGAAAGATGGAGGTGTGGGTGGCGAGCCGGTTCCTGCGAGGGACACGTCCAACTTGTCAGGGTATCTGCATTGCGACACCATGAGCAGACGACATGCGTGCAAATGCTGTCTGTCTTGCTGGCATACGAAGCGGTCGACATGTGTTGCGGGATTTTTGATGTCTGTACCACATCATTACATCGAGAGAATTTTCCTGAACCACTGCAGATCCTGAAGCAGACACCGCCCCACAGTTGGGCAGTGTTTTACCCAGACATATTGAACACAATATGTACAAGAAGGTGTTGTCTGCATCAAGTGTGTTGGGAGTATCAAGGAGGCTTTGATTGCAAAACGCTCTTGCGCATGCTCGCAGACTATGGCAAGAATCACGTCGGGAACAGAAATACTGGACGTTGTACCCATGGACACTGGTGGCCTTCGATTCCAGATCTACAGATGAACCTCCCGAGGGCAAGACAAAACATCTTCTGACGAACATCTCACGTGACATCCCTGTGCTCAGGCGAGTCGCTGGTTCTGAGAATTGAGTCTCACGCATCTCGTTGGAGTCCATTACAAGGCAACAAGGTAGCAAGTTTCGCAGCACTTCGCGATGGTGGGTTCTCGGCTCTGCCTTCCCGGTGATGACGGTGAAAGTCCTCGGTCAGCTTGTTCACCGTGCCGAATTTGGCTCCCGCATGGCGGATCCGAAGACTCGCTCAGCAAGTAACACGACACCAGGTCACTGAGCAAACGATACATAGTTCACTTGCAAGGCTCGACTCTCCACCGTGTCTTGATCGACCCAGGCTGGGATGCTCGGCTCATGGTTCACGAGTTGTTCCCGCGGAGGAAACGCAGGAAAATGCACTTGTTGTCACATTTTGCAACGGCATGACCCCACAACAGGGACACGACCTATGGTGAATGCTTGTATGGCTGCGGTCATGTCGTCTACTACGTACCTTATACGTCACTCAGCACCAAAATACAGAATAACCTTCGATCTTTGTCTACAGCAGAGATGCCTCGCGCAGCTCTTTGTTCTCCTCCTCCAGGAGAGCCTGAGCAAACGCCAGAGACGTCGGGCAATCTCTGTTGTTTTTGGGGCAGTGGTGGTCAAAGGTGACATGATGCAATGACCCAACGACAGCCGCAACCCCGCACTCTCCAAGACCCACGGTGCCCACTTCAGTTACGACTGCATTGATAGTAATGGTCTACAACCTGCTGCTCGTCAAGCACCTGCCAATACTTCCGAGAAGCCATGAACCTTAAGCCATTCAGCGATCTTCCCTGTCTGAAACTACCGCCGCCTCAGCAACGGAGACCGCATGCTTTGCGTCTGTCTCAGCTGCTTCACCTCCTGCGACATTGAAGGACTCCTAAACCTAGAACTTTGTGTGCAGTTCTCAACCGCCGTCAAGCCAACAGACGCACAATGTCAACCCAGCCTTCGGCTTCAGGCGCATACCTTGATGATGCAACAACCTCACGGATAAAACATGTCTTGCATGAAAGAGGCTGAATCTGTGCTCTTTAGATACAACTCCCGCTCAAAAGGCGACATGACACACGAATCCAGGCTCAACTCTAAATTGCAACGCCTGCTGCGCGCTGCTCCCCAATCGCAGATGGCACAGGCGACAAACCAAAGGCAGCTTTGTGCTCCAAGACCTTGCCTTCTGACTCTGCTCACGCAATCGCATGAGGCCCTCGACCTGGAAGCTTCAACTCGCCGAGGTCTCGTGCTGCTGCACAACTGAAGATAAGTCGAGACTCATAAACTAGCCACGAGCTGTCCAAAAAAAAGGGAATGATCCACTGGCCTCCTGCTGGAGCCTGTCCAGGGGTTGATGTGCCTGACGGGCTACTTAGCGGCTACTGCTTGGCTTGAATACATGTATTTCATGCACAGCCGCTGGTCGCAAGCATTTTGCTTCAGCAGATTTCCCCAGAGTCTACTGAGGAGTGCTTCCACCATAGAGCGCGAAGGCCTCCATTGTCCAGCTCCCACATAAGCTAGGATCTTGGAGATAGACAGTTACTGCCCCGCGTGCATGATGGTTGAGGTGAGTGCCCTTGCATGGTGGCGAGCACCCGTCCAACAGGGAGCACCGTGCCATTGCACGAGGTCCATGTTCAAACTGCGCATTCCAGGCCTGCTTCTGGGTTTGCCGAGCCTTCCACAAGCCCCGCCGTAGCAGAAGAACACTAAAGCTTTTCACATATCACAAAGATGCTGCTCTCTAAGATGCTCTCTAGGCCAAGGCGATCTTCTTTGTCTGCGGTGAAACCTAGGACCTGAGGACCTAGCAGCTTTGCCACTGCTTCCTGACTAAGCTCTCGAGGCAAATGTTGACGATATCTGCATCTGACAAAGGGTGTTATGTGGTGGTTGATCGCTCCTTCTTGAAGGAAAGGTTTGCATGCTGCATAAGTTGCAATAACATTTCAATCAGGCATGTAGGCTCTGCTTCGCCGCTGTTGTTGGCGATCAAAGTGCAACCTTCACTATGGGACACTTTCCAAGACCACTAGTCCAAGTCTGCATGACGGACATGAATTTCAAGACCACGTCACTGCCGCCTATTTTTGGCTCAGCTCCAAGCACCCTGGCGAGGAAAAGAAGTAGGTATGAAACTCCCAAAGGAATGACTTAGTTGATTTTAACTACCATCCCTTCATGAGGCTCGCGCTATAACGCAAAAATAAATCCGAGAATCAACATCCAGACTTTCCGAACTATCTTCCAATAGAGTCGACTCCTCGTGCAGGAGGCAGTGCTGCGGTCACATAAACAGGCTGTACATTTTCCTGTGCTCTTGGAGGATCTGGGACACGAGACCTGCAGCTAGAAGTTTCTGGAGAAAAGTGCAGGGCTTCCACGCTTGAAACTCTTGTTTGTAGTGAATGCAAGGCAACAGAACACATGCCAGTTGCCCCACTGTGTTAAGCAACAGTCGCATACTGTGTTAAGCAACAGTCGCATACTCAATGCGTTCATCCGATGCTGGTCACAAATCCTACGCGGAGCCGATCCTTCTGACTTCTTGTGCAATACCATGTTGTGGAGACTGGTGTGCCCGAACACCTTCCCCAAGCCCGGAACATGGCACCTGTACGTCAAGAGAACACTTGCTCGACGCTGCGAGTGACTTCTGGGACGTCTGGCTCCTGTCCGGCGCATTGAAACTCGGGTGTGGCAGGGGGCTTCGAGCTCGACAGTGTTATTTGTGCAGCTGCTTTTCTCTGCTCAATCACACATCCTTCTGACAAGCTTCTGAAAGCTTGTTGCTCTCTCTGCTTAGATCTTCTCGGTGCCAGTGCAAATGACCAGCCGAACTCACAATCCAGCAAAGATGGCCTCCAGCTCTGCTTCGGCTTCGACAGCCTTGCTCTTCGACTGCCGGCGCGCCTCATGCCTGAGGCAGCTCGAAAGCCATCAGGTTTGAACTCTCTGCCTGATTGTGAGCTTTCATTCTCATGCGGACTGTGCTTTAGCTTGCTCGTACTGTCAAGCCCAGGTGCACTGCGACGTTGATGCGGTCCAGTTCAGCAAGGGACTTGTTATAGACGCTCTTCGCCTTGGCTTCACATAATTTTGGAAATCCCTCTGTGCCGGCTTGCGAGCGCGCCTTCGATTCGATTCCAATGACAACGAAACGACATGTGCAACAACAGCGACGACTCGTCTAGCATGCCTCTTTGCCACGTCCGGCATTATGACCTCTAAGAATCGCACTCGCGACCAAAATATCGAGCCTCTTGGTCCTACTCGTGGTACTGCGCTTCAAAATCAGCGGCAGCGGTTACCGCTCTTGGATAAGCACTTGACTTCTCTGTGGCGAACATGAAATTGACAGAAAGTTCTTTGAAAGCTATGTTTGTTAGACAGCGGGGAAATTGCGCGCGACAGAATTAACTGTTAGAATGTCAATGTTCCTGGGCCCATGGCGGCTGCTGCCTTCTCGGAGAAGCTAGCGATTCGCTGCTGCTCTGCTGACAAAGTCAGCTGGTGCTGCTGCAACTGCCTTGCGTTTGTCAAGACACGCAGTACAACGCCACTGACATTACATGGTTTTTGCAGTTGCCTGAGACTGTGCAGGCAAAGGAGCCTGAGGCGCCATGTCTACAAAGCAAGTGCTGGTTCCGTAGTTGTTACATCAGGGTTTGAGGAGCCATGACTCGTAGATGCCCTGAATCGATTCCATTTAACTCGTGCCCGCGCCTGAAGATAGGCTCGTAGCGCTTGATCAGCGCTTCTCCAAGCTTATGTTTGAGGTCCTCCGCGGGATGCAGGACTCGAAGGCCGATGCTGATACATGCTGTTCGGTGCCGAGAGAACCACTTTGAGCTCCTTGTACTTCTCGAAGAGACAGTTTACAAGTCATACAGTCATACATCATCTCAGTCTTTCAAAAGTCGTGACCTAGATTGCCGACAATTTCCTGCAAAACGGACTGGTGGAGCAACAAGGACAGCAGGCCTCCAACATAGCTTTAGCATCCTGGCAACAGGTCATATCTACAAGCTTCAACCCTGCACTGCTCACAAGATGGTTTGACAAAGGCTTTAACACGCATGGGCTGCTGGACTACAGTCGCTCAAGCATCGACTGTCGACAGGAAGCTAAGAAGGGCCATGAGCCCACTGCAGCGTACGTAGACTGCTTTTAGGAAATGCGCAGAGGAGCACCTCGTATTCGCGCAAGCTCTCGGCGTACTCCTGCTCTCTTCGATCACGCTCCTGCACCCAACGCATCCAAATCCATCCATCAGGTCGGCCATAAACTTGCTCTGGCCTGTCGACAGCGCAACACCTCGGTGCAAGATGCCATTCCAGCAAAAAATCCAACACTACTACTCTACCCTCTGGCATGGCATGACATCAGGTGGTGTTGTTTGCCTTTCGGCCACGCTGCTCTGACAGTGGCGCGAGAAAGCCCGTCTTGCTGGTCTCGATCCAGGCGTACCTCGTCAGAGTCTGAATCGTAAAAGTCAGAACGTAAGGCCAAAACGACGTGGATGTGATAAGCCTGAAGTCGCACTCAGAAATACAAGAGCCCTACGTTCTGCTCCGTCGAAGCGCTGGCCTTGTGCGCCCCGTAGGCCAGTCGAGTTTCAATGTTGCGCAGCTCTGCCTTTGCCTGTGCAAACGGAGATCATAAAACCCTGGTGACAAAGACTAACAATGCGCATGAAAACGAAAATGAAAGCTGACGACGTGCAGCGCATAGACGATGACGACTTTCCAAATTTCTAAAAAGCGTCAAATATCTCAGACATGGTGTCAGAACAGAAACCGTAGTAGAATGACCACGGAGCGGTGTGCTGAAACGGACAGCACCAAGCGAGATGGCCGAGCTTCCAACAAATAGACCACATCCCACACTGACTTCCCAAAGACGTAAGACCTTTAACCGCTACAATAACCGCTGCCACTTCTGTGGTCAAGGCCATCTGCAATTTAGGTATCAACAGCGCCTGGCTGTGCTGCGAAGCAGCGGCTGAGAACTCACGAACGACCACCTGCCAGCTCCGGATACCCAAGTCAGCTTCGTATGGCCATGATCTCGGGCTTGAAACACTTCCTTGTGCAGGAGATTCCCTAATCAACCCGGAGCGTACTTGCATCGGCTGATGGCTTTCAGTGCACGGAGGCAATGCCGCGCCACCGCCCCCCTCCCCCCCCGCCCCCGATCCTTTTCTAGAATAGATACAGCAAGGCAGTTGTCATGTTCACCAGATCTTTGGCTCGTTAAGCTAATTGTGGGCCATGGATCGAAACTTGATGAGACATCTGCGCCTAAACTGCTTGGAGCATGCTTCGTGACACAACCCAAACTCACGACACGGGGTATGTACAGTTAGAACCCCAATGCCCGAACAGCCGTTTGATGCAGCGGGCCTGAACTCGTTCAGAGGCATATCGAAACGTCTGCGCAGCCTGGACCGCTGTACAAAGAAATTGGCTGAAACAAGTCTACAGTTCGCATCTGTGTGATGAGCACATGGTGTTTTCGACGACGGCGGGTCCCAAGACAACTACCTGCTGCTGCAAAGGATAGGTCCAAGCCTCGAAGTACGGCTTAACACGGTCGATAGAGGCTCCATAGTGTGCTCGCAGCTCCTCGTCAGCGCAAAGACCAGGAAAGCATGTGTGCCGGCCAAGGCGAGCTTCAAACTTGTCTTCGGCACAGCCAACGTTCTGCTCGCCATATACAAACCCGTCGAGGTGCAGCTTCCGAGCGAGCCTCGTAAACTCGACTCCACTGTTCGAGAAGCTTTTTGTACCTGCTGCATTTTGCGCAAGGTATGCAGCCAAAGACGACCGCTACTGTCCTCGGACCTCTGTCGCATTAGCATCATCGCTAGCGTTGCTGTTACCACTAGCAGTACCATAGCCAGAGCTAGCGTTCGCTCTCATCGCTGCTATCATCATGAATACCATGTGCCATGCGCACATCAGGAGCAGCATCGGCCCAGAAAACGTCTATCCAGGCCGTATTTTCCGAAAGGTCATGGTCCCAAACATCTTTTGGAACTCTTCCCTGCCTGGACACCTGTCATCCCCTTTGAAGATGCAACATGCTGAAGACGACGCCGTCCCTCCACAACTTGCCTGGCTTGCGCCTCACTCGCTTGGCGCTCGAAGGCATTCACTTCGGAGGAGGTGCGGTTCCTTGGAAAATTTGAACATTGGCGGATAGTCGACCTTTTTTAGAAATCAGAGTTTCCCAAACTCTTCGGCCGCAGTCGTATTCATGCTAAAATGCAGATCTACTGTAAGCTGCAGCCCCCCAAAAGAATATAAAGGACAAAAAGGTTTGCGACGAAACCATAAGCAATCCACAGTTCGGCTCCCTCTGCCCATGAATGCAGCCGCCACAGCTTTAGCAGTCATGTCATGCTGCCGGCTCTCCGAGGCTTCTACCCTGGCATTCCAAACAAAACTATACCAGCAAATCTCAGCTTGGGAAGCGTGCCGAAAATGTGCCCCAAAGGATTAGAACAGCAAGCATGCATTGAAGGCATGCCACTGCATCTCCCCTTCACTGCCACTATGTGAGCAGGCCACTGTGCTTCTACCCAAAACGTGAACTCTGCCAAGGAACATGGTCTCAAGCAGGCTCGGCACCTCTTTCGTGAGTTCCTTCTCCTTGCAGCAACGTATTGCAGAGCAATACCGCGAGCCAGATCCGGCGAGAAGAACACAAGCTCGTCATCTTCGGCGCTACAGCAGTGGAGAAAGGACTCCTTCCTTCTTGCACGCTCGCACGCAAACATACACACACACAAACACACACACACACACAAATTCGCACGAGTGTGCATCTACATAAAAAACTAGTTGTGTATATATGCATGTGTGTATGTGTATGTGTATGTGTATGTGTATGTGTATGTGTATGTGTATGTGTATGTGCACGTGTATGTGCATGTGCATGTGCATGTGCATGTGCATGTGCATGTGCATGTGCACGTGCACGTGCACGTGCACGTGCACGTGCAGGTGCAGGTGCAGGTGCAGGTGCAGGTGCAGGTGCAGGTGCAGGTGCAGGTGCATGT